AGTAATGTATAGATCTCCAGATAGTATCCACACTGTTGGAAAGGCTATAAGTCAACAAATAATAGGAGCATGTAAAAGAATAGAATAATAATTATGGGTGACATTAATCCTCATGTTGATTGGGTTAATCAAATTAGAAAATAAAGCTGCGACAGCAAATTCATAGAGTGCATTATGGATACTTTCCAAGAGAAATATGTCATGGAGCCAACCAGAGAGTAAGCTATCTTGGACTGGGTAATGGGTAATGAGGCAAGTTTAATAAATGGCCTCAGAGTAAAAGATCCCTGAGGAAGTAGTAATCGTAACATGAAAGAATTTAATATTTGGTTCAAGAGTAAGAAACCTGGGTCAGAAACAACTGTGTTTAACTTAAATAAAGGAAACTCCAATGAAATGAGATTAGAGTTAGCTAAAGTAAACTGGGCAGATGAATTAGCAGGAATGACAGTAAACAAGCATTAGTGGACATTAAGGAAGTAATTTATGATTCTCAGCAAAAATATATCCCAGTCAGGAAGAAAGATTAAACTAACCACGACTAACTAAAGAAGTTAAAGCGAGATATTAACTTGAAAGAGAAAGCGTATCAGGAGACCAATGTCAGTGATTGTCCCGAAGGCTGGGAAAAATTCAGAATCCATAAAGGGTGAACTAAAAAGATAACGAAGGCAGAAAGAATAAAATACGAGAGCAAATTAATGAGGAATATAAAACTGACAATAAATGCTTCTTTAAAGATCTAAGAAAGAGAGACGACACAGTGAGCGTAGGCCCGTTAGAAAATGAATCTGGTGAGACGGTTCTGGGGAACAAAGAAATGGCAGATGAGTTAAACAGATATTTTGCTTTAATCTTAAAGACACTTCGAATGTACCATTAATAATAAAGATTATAGGGGAAATGAAATACCATCACTAAAGAAGTAATATAAGACAAACTAATGGGGTCTAAAGGCAGATAAGTCCCCTGGCCCTAAAGACTTGCATTCTAGGATCCTAAAAGAGGTAGCTATGGAGCTGGTGGATGCATTGCTCGTAATTTTCCAAAAGTCACAAGATTCTGGAGAAGTACCGGAGGATTGGAAAACTGCTAACGTGATGCCACAATTCAAGAAGGCAAAAAGTAGGTAACTGTAGGCCGATTAGCCTAACATCTATTGTTGAAAAAGTACTGGAATCAATTATTAAGGAATAATAGCAGAACATTTGGAAAATCATAACCTAATCCAGCAAAGTCAGCATGGCTTCATGAAAGGGAAATCATGTCTAATTTTTCGAGTGAAAAATTGCAACCAAGTCTCAACTATGGTGGAAAGAGGGGAACAAGTAGACATATTGCATTTGGAGCCCCAGAGACATTTGACAAGGATCCTCACAGAAGGTTCAGTCATAAGATAGGAGCCCATGATGTTGAAGATAGTATATTGGCATGGATAGAGTTTTGGTTCAAGGGCAGGAAACAGTGAGTGGGGGTAAAGGGTTCTTTTTTAGTTTATTGGCCCGTGACCAGTGGGGTTCCACAGAGATCAGTGTTGGGACTGCAACTGTTTACAATATACATTAATGATTTGGAGAAAAGAAATGAATGTACATTAGCCAAATTTGCAGATGACACTAAAATAGGTGGAAAGACAGGTTGTGATAGGGATACCATCAGTTTACAGAGAGATATTGATAGGTTAAGTAAGTGGGCAAAATGCTCAAATGGAGTATAATGTGAGAAAATGCAAAGTTGTTCAATCTGGAACTGAGGACAGAAAAAAACAGGATATTATTTAAATCGAGGAAAGCTGCAAGACAAAGGGACATGTGGTACTTGTGCATGAAACACAGAAAATCTACTACATAGGTGTGGTAGGTAATCAGGAAGGCTAATGTAATGTTGGTCCTTATTTTAAAGGAGTTTGTGTAGTAGGGAAGTCTTACTGCAACTATACAAGGTACTGCTGAGACTACGGTAGACAAACAGGAGCTGGAGGAACACAGGCCAGGCAGCATCTGGTGAAAAGAAGCAGTCAATGTTTTAGGTATTACACTTCTTTAAGATTGGATATGGGGATAGGAGGAGCCTACATCTGAGGTACTAATATCTGTTTTAGTCCCCTTATCTAAGGAAAGATATAATTTCATAGAAGGCAGTTCAGAGAAGGATCAGTAAGGTTATCCCTGGTACGGAGGGGTTGTCTTATGAGCCATGGTTAAATAGGTTGGGACTCTACTCACTGGAGTTTAGAAGAAGGAGAGATGATCATTGAAAGATATAGGATTCTTAGGGGACTTGACAGGGTAAATGCTGAGAGGATATCCCTTCTCATGGGATAGTTTAGGACAGCAGGCATAGTCTCAAAATAAAGGGGTGCCAATTTAAGACTGAGATGAGAAAGTTCTTTCAAAAGTTGTGAGTCTCTGGAACTCGTTGCCACAGAGTGCTGTGGGGGCAGAGTCCTTGTGTATATTTAAGGCTGAGATCAAGATTTACCGGGAGAGGGCAAGAAACTGGGCATGAGGAATATTGGATCAGCCATGATCCTATTGAATGGTGGAGGAGGCTCAAGGATCCAAACAGCCTACTGCTGCTCCAATTTTTTATGGTCTTATAGGCCTGTACCACGTTTTTCTTTTCTGACCTAGTCTAACCTAAAGAAAGAACACTCTTTTCAGTTTATAGCCATGACGTCATCAAGATCTCGTTGTACACCCACTTTTGAAATGAGTGGGCCCATCATTATGTGTGAACACTGGCGTAAATGAAAATATATTATGAGCCATTATGGAATTAAAAACAGAAAAAATTACCTGTTAAAATAACCTGCATAAATCATTGCTGCCAAAAAGGAAAACTTAATTACATTTATAATATTTTTTTTAAATACCCTATGGAGACAAGCACATAATTAAAAGTTTAATAATTTAAGCATTCAGCCCCCAAAAGATTTGTATTATTCTGCTAGTTTTAGTTAATTAATTAGCCACAAATCCACAGTAGAAAGCAAAATACCAAATGTGCCCTCTGGCCAGTAGTAGAATGAAGAACAAAATGAACTCTTCCACACAGTATCTTCTCACCCAAAGCACATTGAGACCAGCTGCGCAGTAACAAGAGAAGGATAAAGTCACCTAATTTGAGAGATGAGCCTTTTTTTTTATAAGAGTATAACTGAATGATTTATTCAATTACTTCAGCTATCACGAGCCTGAGGTTATTCTTCATTTGGAGTCTTGTTCTATATTTCGTCTATTTGGTTTGTTAGGACTGAAAGCAATAATGTCCTCTCTTAAGGTACATATTGACTAAGGACATTACAGTGAGTCATGTAACCCTGCAGCAAATGTGCTAAAGCTTCACTTTATGATGGTGAAAGTCCCTACATTTGGTCTTGAGCATCACTAGACCATTTCCAGCAAGCATTTTTTTTTGGGATCTAACCTCTCACCTGAATCACACTGAAGCTTAGAACTCCTTGGACTTTCTTACTCACACTAGCCAATCTTGTTCGTTGCACGTAACGTAGCATATTTGGTCAGGAGGACAATGTTTCAAACAAAAAAATCATTCTTCCTTTCCTCTCCAAAACCCTACATCGTTGGTAAGAGCCATTTATCTTAGGAACTGAGTCCCTTCTGTCATAATCTACAGGAAATCAGTTTGCAATTGAGCCAAGCATACGTTTTGCCCTATTTGCAGCAAGCAAATTTGTAGCAGACATTGGATACAATACTTGAGTTATTAAAATCTTATTCAAAAGTGAATCCATGTTTTTGATTGTGTAATATTATAACAGAGCAATGGTATTTGCTTTTGTTAGCATGCTTTACACTGTCTAATAATTTCCATGCTTCAGTACTTTCCAAAGGCAGCCAGAAATTGCTGTAATTTTTGTTTTCATCATTGCAGCTAAACTAAGATTTCTAAAATCAATGTTTTTTTTAATGTCAAATAAAAATTAAGGGATTCCTAAGTATATATTTCAGCACTTTAGCCATGCATGGTGAACACTTTTTACCTTGATCTAATAACAATAGGTTGGTATTTTTCATACATTATAAAAGATCAGATAGTCCCAGGAGCGCAGAAGAATTAATATTAAAAGCATGTTCTCATAGCTCTGTTTACAGTTTTTGCAATGCAAATGGAGCAGCTTCAACCATTTCTCTGCATTTAAATCTCACTGTTTAAAGAATTATGCATTGTATATGTAATCATATTGTTCTCTGGTCAGTGTTTGTTGTTTTAGAGCTCAGAAACATTTTTTTAAAAAAAGAACTGGTGATAGATGCTTTAAATCAAAGTTTTCAGAAAAATAAAGAACTAATTAATGATCACTCAGCAGAAAGCACATCATGCATTAAAAAACAATCAGTCCTGGGTCATTCACCATAGGTCCTTAGTTTGGCATCAGTGAAGCCAAAACTACTGTCTTTCTAATGCATCCAATTAGTGGCCATATGCTTTGACAGTAAGGAGATGTGAATATTCCACAATCTGCTAGGGACCAAGAGACATCAATAACTTCTGAATAATCATATAGGGCCTGGTCAATGGGTTAAGTGCTCCACTGACCATAGGGCACATCTTTAGGGACAGCGTGTCTTACCCTAGAACCAGGAATCCAATTCCCTAATGGGACCCCTCTTCACAGGAGAAGCCATGTATGGAATTTATACTCTGAGGAGGAGTCCTTGGGTAGCTTCAGATGTTTGATATGAGGTTTGTGAAATCTAGCTTACCATATGCTGCAAACAAAGTGCAGCACAGCTTTCCAGCCAGTATAGATTTTTTTGTAAAGGCAGCTGAGACAAAGAGCTTTTCTGTACTATTAACTTCTTTCTCATCATGTAAAAATGTAACTATCAGAGACCATTTCAAGAAAACACATTTTTTGTTAAAATGATGCATCCTTTAACATTATGTATTTTTTGAATTGTATCCACAATTTAAGTAGTGATTTATGAATTCTGTGACTGAGTTACTTTTTAACACACTTTTATTATTTTTAGATTTGGAGAGATTCCTAGAAGATATACTGGATTTAAAGTTCCCACTGCTGATTTTGGTGCCTGCAGCAGATTTGCCTGGCCTAGAAATTCTGCATGTATCTTGTTGGCTGAGCAGCTAAGGACTAAAGACAGGATGGAGAATTATGACTTACCGGCTACTGTAAATCCATTTCCTCCCTTTTTTTTGAAAGAACGAAAACAAAAGCAGAATTCCACCTGTGTTTATAGTAGCAGATCCAACAGCGTGCAAAAGAAAGAACTTCAAACAACACTTTGGTCAACACTGTGTCTAGATTGTAACAAAGGGCTTCTTGTTCGTGGCCAAGTTTACGATTATATTTATTGGCAACCGATAAAAGTAACGCAGGAGAAAGGTGTTGCGTATTACTGGATTTATTATTACTATTAATTTATGGAGTCAGCCAAAGGAAAGTCAGTCAGCTTCTGTTTTAAATCTATGCAGAAAGCATGAACAATGATGTGCCTGAATTTTGATATTAAATGTATAATGTACAAAAATCTAAAGTCGTTTTTAATTTATAACAATTGTTAATTTTTTTCTCATCTTTATAACATTTCCATTACTGTTGTGTTATTGATGAACAACAAGTAAGTCCTCATCTTCACTGATAGTGCAATTATTTAAGGCTTAAGTCTTGACTTTTTTTAACCCCACTCATTTACCTCCTATGAATTTTACACCGTGTAAGAGAGCCTGTTTCCTCAGGCATTTGCAAACCATTTCCCACTGGTGATTCTTCATGTGTGTTCCTTGATTCTGTGTGTAGGGTGTCATAACCAAGCTTGACCCCACTTTCACTGATCTCAGGTAATGCACACTCTTGTCAAGTGGCCATAAGGGATGAAAGTCCTCTATGACTTCCTTCTCCATGCCCCCAAAGATATTGTGGCACTTCTACCAACATCCAAGCCAAAATTCAGCTGATTCAACTGAGTCCAGAAATTAAGCATTGGAAGGACATTCATGATTTTTGTATGTCAGCTACCCACTGTGTGAATTCTCTAAGCCACAGAGAGCCAATTCTGAGATTAATACATGTAGCTGTACCTGTGGCTCAGCGGCACACAAAGAGAAAAATGTTATGAACAACCTTTGCTTTCTACTTAATTCAGCATTTGTACAAAAATAGAAAGGCACTTGCCTATTAAAGCTCAGTCTCCCTAGTGAGTCATTTTGATCTAGGACTTGAAAGTGTTATGAAGCATGCTTTAGAAGCTGTTAGAAAAGAGATTCGTTTTCATTGGCTTTATATGTTGTGTAATAAATCCACACAAGTTACTGCACAGGTTGAACAACTTGAGATTTCCGAGGTAACTGAAGCTATCTTGCTGATGAAGATAAATTATAAATGTTCTGTTTTTGTGTGTGAAATACCCATTTGATTGTTCTTTGAAGCTATTCAAGAATGGCCCAAGTTCACTGTCATCGTTAGCATAGGTACAATATTGTCAAGGTTATGATACCAAACTCACTACCCCGAAATAAAGCAACTTGAATCCAATAAATCTGGTCATTTGTGAGCTGGCAATAGAAACTATGACCACCAAAGTTACTATTTTGACATGGACCCCAAATGTTTATGAATGTATTTTAGAGAGATTTTAACCCAATCTAACCTACAAGTTACTCTGATCGACTTTAATACCATCATTTGTGTCCCAGCATGCTATCTATTGATAGGTTCATACTTAGCCAGTAATGCTAACATCCTGAGAATAATATTTTTAAATGGTGCTTGTTCTATGCATGCATATCCATATTTTCTCCTCCACCTTTGTGTAATTTTTTGATTTCTGTTACCTTATGCACGAGTTCTACTACTTCCTTTATCAAACCATTCACTGGTAAGTCCATGTGGGCAAGACTGTGAATTCTCCTACCACTGTTTCATGCTGTCATGGAAACATAAAAAAAAACTAGCAGGAGTAGGCCATTTGGCCCTTTGAGCCTGCTGCACTATTCTTTTTGATTATAGCTGATTATCCAACTCAATAACTTATTCCTGCTCTTCCCCGATATCCTTTGATCCCTTCAGCCCCAAGAGCTGTATCCAACTCCTTGCAATCATGCAATGTTTTGGCCTCAACTGCTTTCTGTGGCAGTGAATTCCACAGGCTCACCTTTCTCTGGGAGAACAAATTTCTCCTCATCTCTGTCCTAAATGATTCACTCCATACTCCTAGACTTATGACCCCTGGCTCCGGACTCCCTTGCCATCAGGAACATCCTTCCAGAATTTACTCTGCTAGTACTGTTAGAATTCTATACATTTCTCTGAGCTCCACCTCATTCTTCTGAACGCCAGTGAATATTAATCCTAAACCAATTCAATGAGTCCTCATCTCTCAGTCCCACCACCCCATCCTTACATTAGTGTCTTCACCTATTACGAAAATATCTGTTTTCATCTATCTTGAGGATAAATCTACTTGCACGTGATTGAATTCTGAATCGAGTGATAATAGATAACTGTTGCATAATGTCAGAAAATCAGAGTAATTATTGACAATGTAGTGACCCATGGAAGATTATTACTACGCGGATATGAGACTAAATAACTAACGTGACTGAATTTCAGTATGGGGGGTTTTACATTGTCTTTATTTATGCCATATTTAATAATGCTGTCTTTTCTATATAGTAAGTCAAAGCAAAGTATTTGGTGCATAGTGACATGTTAATACAGGATATATAGAAATAAACGTGAAAACAGCACCAGTAAGCCTTGCCTTAAGCCTATTCATGCTTTGAGAAGAAACTGATTAAAATATTAATTACTCCACCCCAGGATTACTTGGATAATATGATTATAATTTCAGAATATATTAATATTAAAAATTGTAAAGAAAACAAAAGAGACTATTTCACGTAATAAAAGTAAAATATTGCAGATTCAGGAAATCTGAAATTTTTAAAAAATGTTTGAAATACTCATCAAAGTCGGCAGCATCTGTGGAAAGAGAAACCAGTTCACATTTCAAGTCAAATATGATTTTCCTTCAGAGCAGAAAGATGTTAGAATGATGGATTTTATGCCATTGAAAGCTGGAGGGCGGATAGAATACTGTATAGTGTGGGAGAGATTAAATGACAAAGACATCCTGCAAAAAATGCACAGAGTCGTAATGGCTGTAGTAAAGAAGAAAATATTGAAGCAAAGAGTCTGGTGTTGCTTTATTTGCTGTCTATATTACATATGCATAGTACCTTTGTAAATAATCAGTCCGCAAACAGTCAAAGAAGTAAAATACTTTAGACTTAGAGATGTTTCTTCTATCTCAGTTGGGACCATTGTTATTCTTTTTTTTTTATAAAACTGACCCAAAAGGTAAGGCATTATATGGTTCTGTCTGTGACTGTGAAGACATAAATGAGATCATATATTCAAAAGTTGATCTTGTGCCAATTTCTCATTTTACCAGCTGCAGTATAACTACATCAGTAGAAAGTAGAAACATTCAATTTATCTCTTTCTTTTGAATGTGTGCCATTTCGTTCCAGGATTTCCAGTCATAAGAACTAAAAAGGTAATATGAGAGGTAGCATAAATCACAATTGATGTGAACTCTAGAGCATATTTGTGCAGACTTTTAAGTACTGTCAGTTCATTGCACAATAGCAGTGCAAAAGCTTGGTATTCTGTGGCACTTAGGTCATGATTCCAGTCGACTTAGTACAGGATGACGTGGGTATTAAGTAATATAATACAATAATGACTTTAATAACACACTGCTAGCTATATGAACTTAATTTCTGCTCAATCTTCCAACTCACCTTAATGTTTTGTTTTTCCAGCTCATGGGTATCAAACAGGCCTGAAGTTCATATCACTTATTGCATAGAATTTTGTAAACACTGGGGAAATAATTGAATTGTATTCATTGTATGAGAGCTCGGTATTCAAATGGGTATATTGGCAATTGAAATAAGAGAAACCTTGATGTATGTGAGTTCTCTGACATTGCAAAGTTGTTACATATGGGCAATATAAGAATACTCAAGTTGCTGTAAGTAGTTATTATCTTAATCGTTTTAGACATTTTATGGAAACATAACCTTGGATTAGACCTGACACAGTGGATAGAAAGTGGTATGTTTTATCCTGGGTTGCAAACTGTGGAGGAAACAGCAGTGGGCTGTCTCCTGAGTAGGGAGAACAGTGAACTGAAGCAGCCATTCAAGGACACTATGTTCCAATCTGCATTTTTTTTTAAAAAAAACTTGCCTTTAAAATGACAGTGCTGAAAATGTTCTGAACTTTATTTAAAACAAAAGTCTTTTCTTTGTATGAAAACACCTTTAAGTTATTGTAGTGTAAGTAAACATATGTTCTATGTGTGCAGGAAAACTCATGTTTCCATTTAGTTTGGTGCTGGCTGTGCATATATATTTGTATAAAATCGTCATCAAAAGATATGAGTTAAACCAGCAGCTGATTGCATAATATGATTTGAAGTTGTTTAATTATCTTCAAGATATTACATTCTGTCAAATAAAATTATATTTACAACTTACATTTCATTCAAAAGTAGTAATTTAAGGAAGGGTGCTTTGAGCAATTACCTGATATTTTTGTAAATAAGGACACACAGTGGAATAGGACATTTTTATTTAATTTTGTTTGTTTTTCAATTGACTTTGTTACTACCATAATTTGCCAAATCAAGTTTGTACATCTTTTGGATGATCTTGGTTGAGATAAACTGCTGAGAAACAAGATGTGATAGTTGTTTGTGCTGGTTGTTAATAAGGGGCTCAAAGGGAATCAGTAGTCAAATTTTCACCACACCTGATCTTTCTATTGAAATTCATAGAACTACAGTTCAAGCTCCTTTTGGAGACTCCTTTCATGATCTCACTGTAACTTTTACATGGTTTGAAATGAAAATTCTTGGAATCATAAATAAAAATTGTGTAGCTGGCTGCCAAGTTGCTTGAAGTTTGTTTGCACTGCACAGTTGAGACAATCATTTCTGACCTGGAAAATATATGAATGCAGGCTAAGCAAAAATGACAATTTCTATCTTCCTACTACTGATATGGTTTAGCTGGTATTCAGGTGTTTTAGAACAGTGCAGGTAGCTTCATCTGCAGCCTCCTGCATCCGGACAAAGCCTGAGGCAACATTTCACAAATTGACTAACAGCAAATTTGTAAAAACATTTATGCCTTTTATTGGATTATAAAGTTAACCATGTGTACTTATCTCTGTGGCGAGAGAAATAAAACTGTGGACTTAAACAGCCTCATGGATTATCTTTTAATTTCAATTTAGGGATTTTTGAAATGGTTGTCAATATGTCTGGAGAGAGAGATTAGCGGCGTTCATGTGATGCACTGGGAGCATTAAAGTGCCTATAAAACTCTTGAGCAATGAGGTAATAAAACTTAAAATATGTTTGGGGAAGAAACCTCATGAATCTCACATTATTGCATGAGTAAAATGGAAAATGTTGGGAGACCCATTTATTGCCGTGGTAAGAAAGATTTTGACGATGGCTATGTTCAGTGCCTACCTCAAGTAATCGCTGCCTGTTTGTATTACTTGTTTCAGAAGCCTTACTAGATTAAGAAAGTTTTTCATTGATACAGTGCCTTTTACAATCTCAGGTCACCCCAAAATATTTCACAGTTAATTCAGTACTTATATTTTAATTCACTTTTAAAAGAGTCAACCACAGTGCTGAGAGTCTGGAGTTACATGCAGGCCAGACCAGGTAAGGATGCAGTTTGCTAAAAACATGTGCAAACCAGATGGGTTTTCCCAACAACTGACAATGGATTCATGGTCATTATTAGACCCTTAATTTCACATTCATTATTGAATTCAAATTCCAACATCTGAAGGTTTTGAACCCAGGTCCCCAGAACATTAGCTGAGTTTCTGGATTAATAGCCTAGTGATAATACCTGACTTTCTCACTTTGTCCACTCCAGTCCAACGCCGGCACCTCCACATCATTATACCACTAGGCCATTGCCTCCCCTACTTTTGAAATGTAATCACTGTTGTACTGTAGCAAAAGTGGTGACCAGTTTCCATGCAGTAAGATCTTGAAAACAGTAATGAAATAAAGGATCAGATGATTTATTTTAGGTGTGGACTGAGGGATGAATATTGACGAGAAAAATCTACCTCACCACCACCGGCAGCACCGCCACCTCTTGTTTGAACTGTGCCCTGGGACATTTGATGTGACTTGAGAGTGCGGACAGGGCTTTGACTTAGTGTTTCATCCAAAAAAACAAAACAGTATATCTGACGTTGCAGCCCTCCCTCAATGCAGCCCAATGCCTTTGATTATGTGCTCAGGTTTCAAATGCAATTGGAGCCCACAACCTTCTGACTGTGAAGCAGGAGCGCAGCTACTGAGCTCCAGCTGACATAACATTAGCAGCTTCCATGCAAGTGATAATTGAAATCAACCCAGAAGCTGATATAACATGGAGCTTAAGCAGTTTTATTCTTCAACTGACCAAAAAGAACTATAAGTATAACAT